AGAGAGAGAGAGAGAGAGAGAGAGAGAGAGAGAGAGAGAGAGAGAGAGAGGTGATCATTTAAATGAAAAAGCCAAAAAAAGGAAAGGAAAGGGGAAAAAAAAAGACAAAGACAAGGAAAAATTTTGGCAAAAGCTGACGTGGTCAGGAGAAGTACCATTAGCTGGTCAACGCTGAAGCCTAGAGGTCCCATTAATTCTTCATCCACAGCGATTGCCTCCTGTTGCTTGAGATAAGAGATCTCCTCCTCCATCTCCACAACTGTGGAAGAGGAAGACGACGACACTTGGGATATGCTTCTTCTTGGTGACCCTACGTTAGGGGAAAAAAAACCCTCTTCCTGATGACTAATCGAGCGCCAAATGATACTTGGACCCCCCACGCAAGCCCCCCCCCCCTGGCAAGTCTTAACCAATCCGGAAGCGCTACAGCGCGATGCGCCCGTCTTCACGAACGAGGACGTTCGAGACGTCAGCAGCGCGGAGCGCAGCGATGGCGGCGATGGATCCGAAGAAGAAGATGAAGAAGAAAACGAAGAAGAAGATGAAGAAGAAAATGAAGAAGAAGAAGAAGAAGAAGATGAAGAAGGGAGAAAGGAAGAAGAAGAAGAAGAGGGGAGCTGCTGCTGCACCTCCGAGGAAAAGAAGAGATCACGAGATCGAGCCCGAGCCGTCCAATCAGATGGATCGTACGGAGGCTGCTGCTGTGTGAGGTGGCGCGAGTTGACCCGGATATGGCGGCGTGAACCTGGACCAAAAAGCCGGGAAGGTTCGGAGACGATCGCTGCTCCGGTGACTGGTAGCCAGCTTTTCGGTTCTGGAGGAGACGCTAGGCTTTTTGTTAGACAACTTAGCAGACAAGAAGGTTCGGAAGCAGGTTGGGGTCGGGGTCGGGGTCGGGATCGGGGTCGAGGTCGAGGTCGGGATCCGGACACAGCGGGAAATCGCGCAATGCTGGTGGCGAAGCGAGCGATGGCGGGAATTCGACGTCCGTCCGCGCCGAAAAGCGCACTCGGCGCGCAGTGGCCGTCGCCGTGGACGCCGTGCAAGTGGCGTTGAAGCTGAAAAGCCCTACATGGACAACGACTAAGTGAGGAGAAGGATATGGAAAGCAACCTCGGGGTACTCATCGATCAATATAAATATTTTTAAATCTTAAAAAAAAAAAAAATCAAGGGGAAAAGAAATGAGAGAAGAGTTTCCCAAAAAAAAAAAAAAAAAAAAAAAAAAAAAAAAAA